CCCTGTCTGGGACCCTGGGCTGTGTACATGGTTAGGGGGAGCCTGAGCCTCAGCATTCATCCCTCTCTGCTTCCCAATGTGTATATCATGTGACCAGCTGAGCTCTGCCATGCTTTCATCTCTTCTCTGCTTCCTGATTGTGGATGTCATGTGACCAGCTGCTTCTTGCTCCTGCTACCTTGACTTTTGCAGGGAGATGGTTTGCACCTTTGAACTGTGAGCCAAAGCTAACTCTTTCTCTTTCAAGTTGCTTTTGTCAGAGTATTTTACCACAGACAGGAAACTGCAGCAGTTCCCAATCCACTCCCTGTGTTATTTTTTCTGGCTCTCATGTCTGTTGTTTGCTGCACCTGTTTTGTTTTCATTGGAATGTAGTTATGTTTTCCTCACACACACCGATGCCATGTTTCTTCCGGCACTGCTTGGTCTTTTTTCAAGGCTTTATTGGCAAAAATCCCCTGTTAAGGAGGAATCTGTGGTTTCAGGACTCAGTGACATTCAAGGATGTGTCTGTGGACTTCACTTGGGCGGAGTGGATGCAGCTAGATTCTGTGCAGAGGAACCCATATGGCAGACTGGTGCTGGAGAACTGCAGGAACCTGGTCTCCTGGGTGAGAACCCCCCTGCCCTTGCAACTCGACCTGATTCTTGCCACCTTTGCCCTTTAGCTGTCCGCCATATGGAATTCATGGGTTTGATTTGAAACCCCAGCTCCCGTGGGGCATTGTTTAGGATAGTCCCTAGGTGAAAAGTCTGTAGAGAATGGAAAAATGGAAATGGAGGAAATCAGAACTGTTCGGGGCTGGGTGTTGACTAAGTTCTGTACCCAAACTCGGTTTCTTTCCTCCCAAGCAGGACATCAACTTTCCATACCAGATGTGATCTCTGAGCCTGAACAAGGAGTGAGCCTGAGAAAAAGAGACCTCCCAGGTTGCATCTCTCTGGGTAAGTATCAGGATGCAGAGACTTGTAATGTAACATGGGTGTCTTACTAAGAGGACATGTGAGAGGGATCTTGAGGTCTCTGGAGGGACCCACTCCCACAGGTGTGTACTGTATGAGGACAGTGCCACCGTGCTGTTGAGACTCATCCTCTGTCACCATATCTATGTCCTGGTCTTGGAGGAGGGGTGGGTGCATCGTGAGGCTTGAGTCACTACACCTGCAGCATTCATGCATTGCCTGGAACCTCTGTGCATTCGGAAATGTTTGCAACGACTGTTTCCTCTCTGTCTTCATTTGTGTTCAGTTAAATCCGTCACCAACTGAGACATCTCCTTTTACTATCTTTGTTCCCAGGCCTAACCAAATTCCTAGCTTCCTTCCCCTTGTTTATGTAAACATTTGAGAGCTTTCTTTTCTGGCTGCCTAAATAGGCATTTTGAATAGTTTGCATATTTTTAAGAGTGAGAAATGACTGTAGTTTTGTTTGCATTTCTAGCAGCTTTGCATCTTACATATTCCATTTATCACTCCAAAATACCCCATCTGTGTCCTCCCTCCATTCATTCCCTGCCACGCAGCTCTTAGTGCTTCATGCCTTGTCCCTGTCACAGCCGCACGGTCTCTTTGGGACGTTATCACTGACTTTTCTCTGCAGAAAACACCTTTTACATCTTGCTTTTTCCGTAATTCCAACCCCATTGTTTTAAAATGTACTTTTTTTTTTTTAAGCTAAAGAGTGAGCAGGGGACCTAGAAATGGCTCAAATGGTGATGTGCTTTAAGCATGAGAACCCGAGTTCAACCCCCAGTGCCCACATAGAAACCAGGCCTATAGATTACAGACTGCACACACCTGTAATCCAGCACTAAGGTGGCAGAGAAAGGAAGATCTCTGGACTTCACTGGCCAGTAGTCTAGCTAAATTGGTGAGCTCTAGGTTCAGTGAGAGACCCTGTCAGAAAAGAAAGTAGAGAGTAGTAGAGACACCTATCTTTTCAAAAATAAGAATGTGTTACTGTATTGATGGTGATGTCTTACCAATATAAGTATCATGTTCTTTATTGGAAAATGCCCTCAGGAGTAGATGCTGGGTGCTCAGGGGTAGTGTGTCACACTAGTGAGCTAAGAAGTGATCTAGCAAAGCCAGTATGGGTATGTAACACAGAGAAACAGAATAAATGTGGCCCAAGTATCTGCAGCCAGAGAATCTAGGTGAGGGTCAGATGTTGTCATTGTTCTCTCGCTTCTGTGGGTTCAGACTTTCAAAATTAATAAAAGCACGAGGGAAGCTGAGGAGAGACTGGCTGTTATCTGACTCCCATGCATGCCCCAGCCTCTCTCCCGGAACCCCCTGCAGACTTACAGGCGTCTATAATCTGACAGTTTGTCAAGGGAACAGGAAAACAGTTGCTCTGAGTCTTGGCATGCACGTTACCCTGAATGCACATTCTGAAGAAAAAGGAGTTTTTATAACTTTTATAGGCATAGATAAAAGGACGTTATCAACAAACACATTCAGTGAATACCTTGGTTGGGGCCGTGCATAAGTGGCTAAGGCTAAGCAGGAAAGTTCTGGCTACTGGGCCGTGTTGGTATTGCATTGTGTTCTTGGTAAGGTGATGGAGGCACTGTATGGAGATGTTTCTTTGTAGTGCTAGAGATCAAGCGCTACCTCTCACCCGTAAGCAAGGGCTTTATCACTAAGCTTCATCCCCAGCCCCATGCTTTTGGTAATGATTTCCTACCCCACTTCTTTGTCTTCTTTCAGACTTTCCGTCAGGAAGGATCCAAAAGCATCTTCACATATTTATGATTGGAATGCACACACTATTTACTTGTCTTCCTGGGCATCTGTCTGCCTGCTGGCACACAGGCTCACTGAACTGTCGTTACTGTGCTGACATTTCATTATATGCCTACCCAGAAAATGCTTGATAATATTTGTTGAGTATTGAATAATATTGGATGACATTAGTAGAACTTTTAAAGTCAGGTACAAATGTGGGTATGAGAATTGTAACCATATCTGTAGAATTCTCACCAGTGGAAATTGGAGAATTGTCAGGATAGAACCAAAAGTCAAAGATGTTCTCACACAGGTTACAGATGCATGCCCGGGGTTGAGGAGGGAGCTGGCTCAAGGAAAAAAGAATACAGCAGTAGTGATAAGAAAGGATAAATGCCTATGGTTTTATCCTTTCTTACTTTATAAACTGAGTGACCAAGAAGCCCCCGTGACCCAGTGCTAAGGGCATGTGCTGTGCTCTGTGTGGAAGAATGCAGAAGCAAGTACAGCCTGACATTTCATCAGGGTTAGATGGAGGGGAAGAAAGAAGAGAAGAGCACCTCCACTGTGTTCTTCATGGGCATGGACCTGTATGATCCTGTAGAGGAGAAACTGGGGAGCCAGGAAAGTGGAGAACAGGGTGGAGCCCAGGAAACAATGTTGCGTTGTGTAGACTTTGCTCTTTCCAGATTGCCTTGCGTATCACTGTCAGCGGTTACAGTTACGTAGTGTCATGTTAGCAGGCAGATGTCCATTGCACAGAGGTGTGTTTTGGTTTTCTGTACATATGTAGTAATGGCCATGTTCAGTTCTCAAGTCACATGGGTCTTTCCTGACTTTTGCAGGCCTGGCACATTGTCTTTTGGCATCCTGTGTCCCTGGGAGGATCTCCTAGGCCAGTTGTTAAAGTTTGTAGGTAATCTTTTGTTTTTCTTTTTCTTAAGATTTAAGTCCTGAGAATTTGCATTTAAGTTAGGCATCTAAATCTAATAAGGAATATATTTAATCTTAATAAGTTTTGTATAGTATTAAAATAATTTGAGTTTAAAACTGTTAGCATTTTGCAGAATAGCAAATACTTTGTTATTTTACTCAGTTGATTTTTGAAATATATATAAACAGGGATTTTTAAAACATATATACTATTTGACACAATGCATATTCTGTTAAACTGTTAATAAATTAATACTTAACTCTTTTTCTTACATAAATAGTACACGTACCATCCAACAGATGAGGAGACTGGAACACAGAAAGGTTAAGAAACCTGCACAAGGTCACACAACTAATAGTGGTTGAAATTGGGGTCGGAGAGATGGCTCAGAGGTTAACAGCACTGTCTGCTCTTCCAGAGGTCCTGAGTTCAATTCCCGCAACCACACGGTAGCTCACAACCATCTGTAATGAGATCTGGTGCCTTCTTCTAGCATGCAGGCACACTTGGCAGGCAGAATACTGTATATATAATAAATAAATTAAACTTTAAAAAAAATAGTGGTTGACTCGAGTACATCTGTAATAATTAAAACCCAAATAGATGTAGTCAAGTTGACAACCAAGATTAGCTATCACAAGGCCATCCCGTGTAATCCCGACACACAATCACATCTCTTTATGTCATGGCTAATTTCCAAATGAAAGCAATAACCAGGTCATAATTCCACCTAGCATGATATAACTATTCCATGTACAACTGTGAATGGATTATAGGTGGCAGTGTCCCCTGAGGAATGATTAGTCTTTTAGTGTCTCATAACTTAAATGCAATAACCATTAATATTATCTTAGTTGATATTACATGATTAAAAAAAGCAGGAATACAAATATCACTTAATATATATGTGTATATGCACAGACTCATTCTTTTGTTTGTTTTTGTGTTTTTACATCCCAACACAAACTCGTTCTTAACACAATAAGACAGAAACGCTCATGTCGATTAGAATTTCTTTCTGTCACATGGCCTTAGAGGGTATTCATAGCTACTTTCCTCTCCTACCCATCCTGTGTTTCTTCTGTCCCCAGCAGGTACCTCAGAAGGTCTTAAGTCTTGGTTCTTTTCTTGGAGGAGTGACCCATACTTTCATTCCCAAGAGTCTGGACCCTTTGTCATCCTGCCTGGTTTGAGCTGTTGTAGTTTCCCATTGACTTCATAAGACCATGGTAGCACCAAGAGTTGCCCTAAAGGATCTCCTACACTCCAGACATAATCTTCTTTACCACTGTTGTGAAGAAACCATCCAATTTCTCCCTGGTGATCTGGATCAAACACTCCTCCTCACATTTATTCCTCTTTTAGACCATGTTCAATGGAATATTTGTATCTCCTAGCAGGAGTGCTGCTTCATCTGGAACTTAAACCTCTAGGCCAGCAGAACTTGAGATCATGAGAGCAGGAAGAAAAAAAAAAAAAAAACCATGGGGAGGGGAGTCACTAGGATTGATAGAGAGTAGAATTATTCCCATTTCCATCCCCTTGATTACTGGACCTGTGGATCCTAGCTGTGGGAGAAACTATACCATATATTGGACACTGATTCAATGCATGTGTCATCTTCTGGAGAACTTGTCCCAGTCATCCAGGCTGCTGTGGCCTAATTGGCACTCTCAGTGTATCTTCAGAAGGCTGTTTCATCATTCTCTCAGGCCAGCTGCTTCAGGACGATGGAGAACGGGATAAGATCAGCAGGCATGGGCCCACTGTTGCTCCTCTATGGCTGTGAAATGAGTTCCTTGGTTAGAAGCAATGCTATATGGAACAACATGGCAGTGAAGAAAGCATTCTGTCAGTCTACAGATGATAGCTTTGGCAGAAGCAGTCCATGCAGGAAAGGCAAACCCATAATCAGAATAAGTTATCTATTCCAGTATCTATTCTGTGTTGCGTGAGACATTCAATGGAATGTCATTTTAGGCTCTCTGGCAGCAGGGAGGGACAGTTTCTGTGAACTGAACCTCGAACCTCCATTCAGAAGCATATTTATTGATTGTACACAAAGGTTGTGTTTGGGGTACAACAAGTTCCTCATACCAAAGCCCCTTCGATCTATTCTATATGTTCTCTGAAGGAAACCATCACAGCCTGCAACCTTGGTCCTCATTGTGTAGTGTTTGCAGTACCCAATAATTCAAGACCCTCCAAGTGAGCCTCAATAGTCCTGTGACTAAAGCCATGCAATGGATGGAGAAGCCTTTCAGAAAAACAAACTCTATAAATCATAGACAGCTATCATTGTTCTCTGCTATGATTTTTCCAAGGTACCTTCAGCAAATACTAATACATTCTGCTGTTACCCTTGATACAGTGAAAAAAAACTATTACATTCTAATGTTTATCCTAGATACAATGACTCTACTAGATTCCCACTACAAGTAAGGACAAAGTGTTGCCCTTTGCATGAAGAAAGTAGCCTTATGAAGTAAAGTCGACAACCACATTAGCTATCACCATTCCCCTTCCTGGCTCTTCTTTACAGAGTTGCCATCTGTCTGTGCTAATGGAATCCCCCTCCCCTCACTTTTTGTGACTTCTGAGTAACAATTCAAATATTCTCAAAGAATGTGAATTGGATAACTGGATGTGACCAGAGTGACTTAGGCCAAGAGACAGCTGCTAGCTCATATATTCTTGCTGATAACACTAAATAGATACTCTCTCCAGAGTTACTTAGGAACATGTATTTCAGTGGCAATTCCAGCTTGACTTAAAATTTTTCTTTTTGTTAAAGCAGGTCAGCTTGGAAGGGAGAAGCTCTGTTACTTACATTTCTTGCTTACTTACCCAGTGTTGATCTCCGCTCTGTTGACTTTGATCAGCAGCCCTAAAACGGATTCTCAGGCTGCAGTGTCCTGTCCTCCGTCCTCACTGAGTGGCTCCTGGTCCTTTCCTCTGTGCAGTTTCCTCTAGCAGCTCAACCGACTCTCTTCATCTTGCTCCGCTCATCACAGTCCTCAACTTCACAGGGAAAATGGAGGAGCGTGGAAGGCCCTTTAGGCCTGTTACATCTGTGAGTGGAACATTTCTTAAAGGTTAAGGAGAAAACCTTTAAGACAGCAGCCTCCTCTAAGAGTGTTCTGTTCTTTATGTTGCAGATGACCGTACTCCCCAGGGGTAGTTTACATATAGTTAGGGTCTTACTCCTTATCAGATTATTTTATCCTCTTTTAAGTCTGTGAAAGCTCAAATCCAAAGAAACCTTATTGGCCGTGTTTATCTCAGTCTTGTTAGCTCCCATCAGAATGGGCTAAGCTCTGATTCCAGCCTTCGGTGACTTTTCTAGCCCAAAGTACCAAATTCTTCCACATTCTAGCCACAGATGGGTCCAAAAGCATAAGAATGACATGGTCAGTTTACACCCCAGAGGCCCCTCTTCTGGGCACCAATTTCTGTCTTAGTTTCTTTTCTGTTGCTGTCATAAAATACTCTGACAAAAGCAACTTAAGGGAGAAAGTATTTATTTAACTCCTGGTTCATGTTAAAGTCCATTTGTGGTGGAGAAGTCACAGTGGAAGGTGACTGAAGGAGCTGTGTCTCTACAGTCAGAACAGAAATGCATGCAGGGTAGTGGGCAGCTTGTATCTCTCCCTCTTATGCAGGATCCCTGGCCCAAGAGAAGGCCCATATGAGCCTTCTCACATCAGGTAATGTAATCAAACTGGTCCTCCACAGTTCAGCCCAGTCTAGATAATCCTCACTGAGAGTCCCTTCCCAGGGGACTCTGGATTCTGTCAGTGTGGAAATTAGCACATCGTTCTGGTCTGCTTTCTCTAGCCTGTCCCTTCTGTGTATTTTCCTTAGTTCTGCATTCACTGTCTATCCATCCCTGCTGGATGAGCCCCCTTCTTTCTATTTATTCAGCTGGTTGTATTAGTTCTTCTGTTTTCTGTGGACTAGTATGCTGCTCTTCACCTTTTGATTTTGCTAAAGAATTGTAAAAATATTTTCAAAATCTCTTAACCACGCTGAAGTTATTCTTCCTTTGCTCTCGTAGTCCCCTTTGTGTAGTTTCTAGTCACTCAGCACAGAAATCAATATGCATTTGAATTGTTTACTTTTTTTTCAGGCTGGGAAACAAGACTTGAAACCAAAGAGTTAACTCTAAAGTCCAACATTATTGAAAAATTGCCCTATGGGGCCATAATGGAAAAAGAAGATTTCTGGCATTCAGCTTTAGGGTCTGTCTGGGACCCCTCTTGTCGGCTAGAGGGGCAGCAGGAAAGATATCTGGGCCAAGTGGCAGTGGCCCAAAAGGAAACCTTTAATGAGAAGAGGGTATGTGATGGTAATAAAACTGAAAATTGTTCCATTGAGGGTTCAATGCTTAACACAGCACAAGGCATTCCTTTGCCAAAAAGGCCTCGCAATTGGAATTCACGTGGAAAAGATTCCAAGCAGACTTCCAAGTTAATGAAATCTCCAAGAATGTTTATAGGGAAGAAAATATATGAATGTGACGCCTGCAGGAAAACCTTCAGCCAGAGCTCCTCCCTGCTTAAGCACCAGAGGATCCACACTGGGGAGAAACCCTATAAATGCAACGTGTGTGGCAAGCACTTCATTGAGCGCTCCTCCCTCACCGTCCACCAAAGGACTCATACCGGAGAAAAACCCTACACATGTGATGACTGTGGGAAAGCCTTCAGTCAGAGCATGAACCTCACTGTGCATCGAAGAACGCACACTGGAGAGAAACCCTATCAGTGCAAAGAGTGTGGAAAAGCTTTTCGTAAGAATTCATCCCTGGTCCAACATGAAAGGATTCATACCGGGGAGAAGCCCTACAAATGTAGCGACTGTGGGAAAGCTTTCACACAGAGCATGAATCTGACAGTGCATCAGAGGACTCACACCGGAGAAAAGCCCTATGAATGTAGCGAGTGTGGAAAAGCCTTCAGTCAGAGCATGCATCTTATTGTGCATCAGAGAAGTCACACCGGGGAAAAACCCTATGAGTGCAGCGAATGTGGAAAGGCCTTCAGTAAAAGCTCGACACTCACTCTACACCTGCGAAATCACACTGGAGAGAAACCCTACAAATGTAACAAATGTGGCAAATCCTTTAGTCAAAGCACATACCTTATAGAACATCAGAGACTTCACTCTGGAGTGAAACCTTTCGAATGTAACCAGTGTGGGAAAGCTTTTAGTAAGAATTCTTCTCTTACTCAGCACCGGAGAATTCACACTGGTGAGAAGCCTTACGAGTGCATGGTGTGTGGAAAGCATTTCACGGGGAGGTCATCCCTAACTGTCCATCAGGTGATACACACTGGAGAGAAACCGTACGAGTGCACTGAATGCGGGAAGGCCTTCAGCCAAAGCGCCTACCTTATTGAACATCAAAGAATCCACACTGGTGAAAAACCCTATGAATGTGACCAGTGTGGGAAAGCGTTCATTAAGAATTCATCCCTCATAGTGCACCAGAGGATCCACACAGGAGAGAAGCCCTATCAGTGTAATGAATGTGGGAAGGCCTTCAGTAGGAGTACAAACCTTACAAGACATCAGAGGACTCATACATGAGAGTTGTCACTGGCACCTTCATCTTGAGTAATTCTTTAATAATAATCATGTCATATCAATGTAGATGCTTAATAACCATAACTAAGGTGGGAACCTTTTAGTTGAAGTACAGCATAGCATACCAGAGTAACCATATGAAAGCTATGAACACTTTCATTCAGATGGTGAAGTCTTGTATCTAATACACAAATGAGGAAGACTTCAGCTGAAAATAAGCTCTAGCGTGTCATACTGGGAATTCTGATTTGGGCCTCACAGAGTTTTCACACTGGATAGAAAATGTGGTAGTACTTAACTGGACAGCCCAAAAGTCTGGCATATAGTTCTAACCCCCATTAACTTAAATAAGTCACCCACTTTCATCCGGTTACAGTGTCCTTATGTGGTAAATGAGAGAGTTGGAATTTAGAAGGCCTGTGGGATCTCTTAGATAAAATGTCCAAAAGCAAGATGCAGGGAAGTTTTTGTGGTTGGTTTTTTTGTTTGTTTGTTTTTGCCCTCCCCCCCCCCCCCGTTTTTATTTCACATAGTGGTTTTATTTCATATGGTGGTTTTTCTGGAATGTTCCTCTACCTCTAACTCCTATTGTCCTTCAAGTTTTTCCCTTTCCCTGAATTGATTTATCTCCTAAAATGTAGGCTAGTTGCTATTGGGTGGCAGATAAACTGTGCATATTTTAATGCCACAGCATGCTGTTTTGAATTCTCAACTAATAGTCATTAAACTGTTGTTGAATAAGCTGATTGTATTTATATGAAAATGTGACTTAAATATAATCTTTAAAAACTTAAGTATCAATGCATATCTTTGTGTCTTACTAGACTGTCATGGAAATTCAAAGACATGTGGGTTGAATACTAATGGTGCTGGACAGTTTTATGTCAGCTCAACATAAGCTAAAGTCATCTAAGAGGAGGGAACCTCAATTAATTCCTCCATAAAATCGGGCTGTAGGCAAGCTTGTAGGGCATTTTCCTAATTAGTGATTGATGGGGTAGGACCTAGCCATTGTGGGTGGTACCATCCCTGGGCTGATAGTGCTGGGTTCTGTAAGAAACCAGGCTCAGCAAGCCAGCAGGCAGTACTTCTCCATGGCCTCGGCATCCCTCCTGCCTCCAGGTTCCTGCCCAGTTTGAGTTTCTGTCCTGACTTTCTTCAATAATGAACAGTGATACGGAAGTGTAAACCAAATAAACTCTTTCCTCTCCGAGTTGCTCTGGTCATAGTGTTTCATCACAGCAATAGAAACCCTAAGATGCTAGTAGACATAGGAATTTAGCACATTAATAAAATCTTTGCAACTCAAAACACACTCAGAACCACCACAGAAGTAGTTTATAGATCATGGTAGTAGTTGATTTATTAAATGCATATTGACTAAGTCCTAGATGTGAGATAGATATTGGGGGGGGGGGACGGTCACTGCAGGCTTTCTGGGTGGCAGAAAATAGTTCATGAAGAGACAAGAATGAAACTTCACTCATCTCCTTTCAACACCAATGCTGAACCAAAACTTCTGAGTCAGACACCAGTTCGTTTATTTTAGCCATATTTAAATGCAGCATGATTTTGGGGAAAAAAAAAGTTTTCTAATAACAACTCAGTCCTGTGATACAACAAAGCTTAAGACATGTTTACATAGAAGTGTGTAACAAAGTCCATAGGGCTTCTTCCATAAAGATGGGGCCTGTTGACTCAGAAACAGTGCTCAAGCTAAGGTCTGTGGAGAATGACTAAGGTGGAGTGCCTGTGGGAGTCAGGATTTGATCTGGCTTCTAAGACATAGAAGTCACTTAGGTTGTACAAATGACATCACTCATAAGGATGAGTTTTATGGCCTAGAAATAATGTTCAAGGTTTGGGGATAAACCAACATCATATTTTGGGGAATATGGGTGGAGCCTGGCTCAAGAGGTTGCAAAGGATTACTTGGTTGTAAACTACATTTTCCCCCAGCATTCCAGGACAGCCAAATATCTCCTCCCTTTGGAGAAACTGTTTTCCTGGCTTCTCTAGTACCTAACTGTATGCACAAGGACCTTTTACCCCTACAACATATGATCAGAAAACAAAAATTAACATTAGCATTTTTTTTAATTCTTCAAAGGTCCTATTTAGAAGTTAAGAGAGAGAGAGAGAAAGAGAGAGAGAGAGAGAGAGAGAGAGAGAGAGAGAGAGAGGGGTATCCCATAAGGTATTCATTCCCTAGTGACTTTCACTAGCCCCAGCAGATAAATCAGATAAATGGAAGTTTCACTACTTGTATCAGAAGTTTTGTTAGACACGTCTTTTCCGAGCTAGCCTGGGCAGCCAGTGTGGTTGCCTTTGCACCTTTCTTCATCAGCAGAAGTGACATCCTGGTTCCACCTATATCACTTACTGGGGCCTTGCTCAAGGCATTTCATATGTTAATGCCTATTTCCTCATTTGTTAGTGGTGCAAACCTAAGTGCTTTGGGTTGTGTTAGATAATAAAGGCGCTTAGGAAAGCGCCTAACACAGTTAGTGCTAAAGGCTACCCAGAACCCGCAAACATCTAAAAGAACCACTAGGCTCACAAAGCAAACGTCTTAGAGGAAGGTGAAAAGAAAAGTATTGGCTCAGGACCCCAAGACCAAGTTCTCAGCACAAAGGAGATGTATTTGCTCCAGAGGGACAGAGGACAGGGAATAAGAGACAAGGACAGGAGACAGGGAATGAGTGAGACAGGGAAGGGGATCTATGTATGTCTCCCTTCAGGTCCTCGTTGTATAGGTTCTCTGAGATTGTGAATTGTAGGCTGGTTTTTCTTTGCTTTATGTCTAAAAGACACTTATGAGAGTATATATGGTATTTGTCTTTCTGGGTCTCAGTTACCTCACTCAGTATGATATTTTCTATATCCATCCATTTATCTGCAAATCTCAAGATGTCATTATTTTTTTCTGCTGTGTAGTACTCCATTATGGAAATGTACCACATTTTTCTTTATCCATTCTTCAGTCGAGGGTCATTTAGGGTGTTTCCAGATTCTGGCTACGACAAACAATACTACTATGAACATAGTTGAGCACATGTCCTTGTGGCACGATTGAGCATCCTTTGGGTAAATACCCAAAAGTGATATTGCTGGGTCTTGAGATAGATTGATTCCCAATTTTTTGAGAAATTGCCATACTGATTTCCAAAGGGGATATACCAGTTTACACCCCCACCAGCAATGGAGGGGTGTTCCCTTTATCCCACAACCATTCCAGCATAAGTTGTCATCAGTGTTTTTGATCGTGGCCATTCTGACAAGTGTAAGATGGAATCTCAGAGTTGTTTTGATTTGCTTTTCTCTAATGGCTAAGGATGTTGAGCATTTCCTTTTTGTAAGGAGGCTGCTTGTTCATTTCCTGGCTGCCCAGACTCCCGAAATAACCACTCAAAAACTATTAATCCACTATGTCGGTGCACCAATTTGTTGGAGGGAGGCCGTTTGTTGGTTCCTGGCTACTCAGCCCCAAAATAATCATGCAGAAACTATATTATTGAAATCACTGCTTAGCCCATTAGCTCTACCTTCTTATTGGCTAACTCTTAAATCTTAATTTGACCCATTTCTATTAATCTGTGTAACCACAAGATTGTGGTCTACCAGCAAAGTTTTGGCATGTCTGTCTCTGGCGGCGGCTCCATGGCTTCTCTTTGGCCCCACCCTTCTTTCTTCCAGCATTCAGTTTAGTTTCACCTACCTAGCTAAGTTCTGCCTTGCTATGGGTCCAAAGCCATTTCTTTATTCATTAATGGTAATCACACCATACAGAGGGGAATCCCACATCATTTCCTTAAGTATCCTTCAGCCATTTTAGATTCCTCTGTTGAGACTCCTCTGTTTAAGTTTGTATCCCATTTTTTATTGAATTATTTGTTCTTTGGTGATCAATTTCTTGAGTTTTTTGTATATTTTGGAGATCAGACCTCTGTCCAATGTGGGGTTGGTGAAGACCTTTTCCCATTCTGTAGGCTATCATTTTGTCCTGTTGTCAGTTTCAGGAGGTCCCATTTATTAATTGTTTCTCTCAGTGTCTGTGCTACTGGGGTTATTTAGGAAGTGGTCTCCTGTGCCAATGCGTTCAAGTGTACTTCCCACTTTCTCTTCTGTGCGGTTCAGTGTGGTTGGCTTTATGTTGAAGTCTTTGATCTATTTGGACTTGAGTTTTGTGCATAGTAATAGATGTGGATCTATTTTCAGCCTTCTACATGTTTATATTCAGTAATGTCAGGACCATTTGTTGAATATGCTTTCTTTTTTCCATTTGACTTTTTTTTTGTTTCCTTGTCAAAAAGTAGGTGTTCAAAGATGTGTGGATTGATATCCAGGTCTTTTATTCAGTTCCATTGGTCCTCCTGTCTGTTTTTATGCCAATACCAGGCTGTTTTCAGTACCGTAGCTCTGTAATAGACTTTGAAGTCAGGGACTGTGATGCCTCCAGAAGTTCCTTTATTGTACGAGATTGTTTTGGTTATCCTCCTGGTTTTTGTGTTTTTTTGTTTTTGTTTTTTTTTGTTTGTTTGTTTGTTTGTTTTTTTTGCTTTTCCATATGAAGTTGATATTGTTCTTTCAAGGTCTATGTAGAATTTTGCTGGGCATTGCACTGAATCTGTAGATTGCTTTTGGTAAGATTGCCATTTTTACTATGTTAATTCTACCTACTCAAGAGCATGGGAGATCTTTCCATTTTGTGATGTTTTCTTTCTTCAAAGATTTAAAGTTCTTGTCATACAGGTCTTCAACTTATTTGATTAGAGTTACTCCAAGATGTTTTATGCTGATTTCTTTATCAGCCCATTTATCATCTGTGTAAAGGATGGCTACTGACTTTTTTGAGTTAAGCGTATATCCTGCTACATTACTAAAGGTGTTTATGAGTTGTATAAGTTCCTTGGTAGAATTTTTGGGATTGCTTATGTAAACTATCATATCATCAGCAAATAGTAAAAGCTTGACTTCTTCTTTTCCAATTTGTATCCCCTTGATCTCCTTTTGTTGTCTTATTGCTCTAGTTAGAACATCAAGAACCATATTGAATAAATATGGAGAGAGTGGACAATCTTGTACCTGATTTCAGTGGGATTGCTTTGAGTTTTTCTCTATTTAGTTTGATGTTAGCTGTTGACTTGCTGTATATTGCTTTAATTATGTTCAGGTATGTTCCTTATATACCTACTCTCTCCAAGATCTTTAGCATGGGGAAGGGATGTTGTATTTTATCAAAGGTTTTTTTTTTCAGCATCTAATGAGATGATCCTGTGGCTTTTTTTTTTAGTTTGTTTATATGGTGGGTTACATTGGCAGATTTTCATATGTTGACCATCCCTGAATCTCTGGAATGAAGCCAACTTAATCATGGTGGATGATTTTTCTGATGTGTTCTTGGATTCTGTATTGTATTGCGTATTTTTGCATCAATGTCCATGAGTGAGATTGGTCTGTAATTCTCTTTCTTAGTAATGTCTTTGTGTGGGTTGGGTATCAGGGTAATTGTAGCCTCATAAAAAGAGTTTGGCAATGTTCCTTCTGTTTCTACTGTGTGGAACAATTTGAAGAGTATTGGTATTAGTTCTTCTTTGAAAATCTTGTAGAGTTCTGCACTGAAACCATCTGGTCCTGGGCTTCCTTTGGTTGAGAGACTTTTGATGACTGTTTCTATTTCTTTAGCAGTTATAGGTCTATTTAATTAGCTCATCTGGTCTTGATTTAATTTGGTAAGTGATATTCATCCAGAAAGTTGTCCATGTCCTTTAAATTTTTCATTTTTGTGGAGTACAGATTTTCGAAATATGACCTAATGATTCTCTGAATTTCCTCCATGTCTATTGTTATGTCTCCCTTTTTATTTCTAATTTTGTTAATTTGGATATTCTCTCTCTGCCTTTTTATAAGTTTGGACAAAGGTTTGTCTATTTTGTTGATTTTCTTGAAGAACCAACTCTTTGTCTCATTGATTCTTTGTATTTTTTTCTTTGTTTCTATTTTGTTGATTTCAGCTCTCAATTTGATTACTTCCTGCCATATAGTCCACCTGGGTGAGTTTGCTTATTTTTATTCTAGAGTTTTCAAGTGTTCTGTTAACTCACTATTGTGGGATTTATGTAGGCATAAATCCAGCTTCTTTATGTGGGCAATTAGTGCTATGAACTTTCCTCTTAATACTGCTTTCATCATGTCCCATAAATTTGGGTATGTTGTGTGCTCATTAAATTTTAGGAAGTCTTTAATTTCTTCCTTGATTGATGATTCAGGTGAGTATTGTTTAATTTCCATGTGTTTGTGGGCTTTCTGGAATTAGTGTTGCTGTTGAATTCTGGTTTTAAGCCATGGTGATCCAATAAGATACATGGGGTTATTCCAATTTTTTTGTATCCATTGAGGTTTGCTTTGCTACCTAGTATGTGTCAGTTTTTGAGAAGGTTCCATGAGGTACTGAGTAGAAGGTATATTCTTTTACGTTTGGATGGAATGTTCTATAGGTGTCTGTTAAGTCCAATTGAGTCATAACATCTGTTAGTCCCCTTATTTCTCTGTTAATTTTCTATCTGGCAGACCTGTCCAGTGATGAGAGTGTGGTGTTGACATCTCCCACTCTTAATATGTGTGGTTTAATGTGTGATTTAAGTTTTAGAAGTGTTTCTTTTTTTTTTTTTTTTTTTTTTAATATTTATTTATTTATTATGTATACAATGTTCTGTCTGTGTGTATGTCTGCAGGCCAGAAGAGGGCACCAGACCTCATTCCAGATGGTTGTGAGCCACCATGTGGTTGCTGGGAATTGAACTCAGGACCTTTGGAAGAGCAGGCAATGCTCTTAACCACTGAGCCATCTCTCCAGCCCTAGAAGTGTTTCTTTTATTAAAGAGGTGCCTTTGTATTTGGGGCATAGATGTTCAGTATTGAGAATTCCTCTTGATGGATTTTTCCTGACTAATATGAAATGTCCTTCTTTGTCTCTTTTGATTGTTTTTTTTTTTTTAGTTTGAAGCCTATTTTGGTAGATATTAGGATAGCTACACCAGCTTGTTTCTTAGATCCATTTGATTGAAAAAATTTTCCCAACTCTTTATTCTTAGGCAGTGTCTGTCTTTGAGGTTGAGGTGTGTTTCCTGTATATAGCAGAAGGATGGATTCTGTTTTCATATCCAATCTGCTAGCCTGTGTCTTTATATAGGTGATTTGAGTCCATTTATATTAAGGGATATTAATGTTGTTAACTCCTATTTTAGTTTTCATTGTTGGCGACGTTATTGTGTGTGTTTCCCCTTCTTTGGCATTTGCCACTGTGAGAGCATCAATTGTATGTGTTTCTGTTGATGTAGCCAATTTCCTTGGGTTGGAGTTTTCCTTCAAGTACTTTGTGTAGGGCTGGGTTTGTGGCTAGGTATTGGTTAAATATGGTTCTGTCATGGAATATCTTGTTTTGTCCATCTATGTTGATTGGAAGTTTTGCTGGATATAGTAGTCTGGGCTGGCATCCATGGTCTCTTAACATCTGCATAATGCTTGACCAAGACCTTCTGCCTTTCTTTGTTACCATTGCGAAGTCAGGTGTAATTCTGATAGGTCTGTCTTTATATGTTACTTGGCTTTTTTCCTTTGCTGCTCTTAATATTCTTTCTTTATTCTGTATGTTTAGCGTTTTAATTATTATGTGGCAAGAGGACTTTTTTTTGGATCCAGTCTATTTGGTGTTCTGTAAGCTTCTTGTATCTTCATATGCATATCTTTCTTTAGGTTGGGAGAGTTTCCTTCTATGATTTTCTTAAATATATTTTCTGTGCTTTTGAATTGGACTTCACCTTCTTCTATACCTATTATTCTTAGGTTTAGTCTTTTCATGGTGTCCCATATTTCCTGGATATTTTGTGTTAACCTTTCATTAGATTTAACGTTTTCTTTGACTGATGAGTCTATTCCCTCTATTGTATCTTCAGCACTTGAGATTCTCTCTTTCATCTCCTGTATCCTGCTGTTTATACTTGCATTTGTGGTTCCTGATCATTTTCTCATAATTTCCGTTTTCATAAGTCCCTTGGTTTGTGTTTTCTTTATTGTCTCTGTTAATAGTTTCTTTCATCTGTTTGATTGCTTTTTCTTGATTTTCTTTATGGGATTTGTTGATTTCTTCCAATTTTTTGTTTGTCTTTTTCTCCATTTCTTTAATGGAATTTTTCATTTTCTCTTTAAGGGCCTGAAATATTCTCCTAAAGTTATTTTTTTAGGTCATTTTCTTCTGCTTCATCTATTTGGTTGCTCAAGTCTTGTTGTTGTAGGGTCACTAGGGTTTTTTTTTTGGTGTCGTGTTGCTCTTTATGGTGTTGAGTGTGTTCTTACCATCTTTTCCTCTGGTTGATGTAGTTTGGGCTGTGTCTCTGGTGATCAATCTTCCAGGTGCCAGTGGATCCAGGATCAGATGATTGCTCCTCATGGTGCAGTGAGGGCCATGGTTCCAGTCACCCGGGAGGTCACTCTGTGTTCCTGGAGGTCACTCGGTGTTCCTGAAGGTCATTCAGCACTGCTGGGAGTCACTCTGCAATATATCGGTGGTCATTCTGCCTGCTCCCAAGGAGGTTGCTTGCTTGGGGCTGCTTCCATTGAGGTAGATAGCTACCTTATGCCTTCTCAGGGATGTAGCTGACTCATGCCTGCTCCCTAGGTCGTCGCTTCCTTATACCTGCTCCTGTGGACATGGCTGCCTCAAACCTGCTCCAGCAGAGGTCACTGGCTCAGGACTTTTATGTAGATGTCCCTGGCCTGGGCCTGCTCCCTTGTACCAGCTCATGTGGAGGTCCCTGACTTGGGCCTGGTTCTGCAGAGGCCTCTGACTCCCTTGGAGGTTCCTGTCTTGCACCTGAACACACAGAGGTCTCTAGCTAGGGCCTGCTTCCTCAGGGCTTGCTCCCTTGTACCTGCTCCTGTGGAGGTTGCTGCCTCAGGCCTTCTCCAGATTCAGGCCTGCTCCTGCGGAAGTCACTCGATTTTTTTTTCCCAAAGCTAGAATTCAAGCCGACAGATGCTATGTCCCTGTGCTACGTCCCTGTGTTACCACCATCCCTAGCCCTCACCCCAAATCAGTTCTCCCCAAAATTGACCAGTTTACAGATATATGCATCTGTCCACTTCAAACTTCCAGTGCTTCCCTACCACACACAAAATAAATCCTATGTTCCTACCGTGGCTGTCAAGACCTCAGAATCACACGCACATTCATATTGAGTTGTTTTCTTTCCTTTTCCCTAGCGATGATGCTAAACATTAAATACACCAAGCCCACTTCTTTGCAGGCAGCTCTTCCCAGGAAAGTCAAATCTCCCGAATATCCCCACCCGTTCGCTCTGTAACTCCCTAACAGGGCTCTATTGTCTTGTCACTCCCTGGTCCCCTCCAGTGCAGGCTTCACTCTATTTCTCCAGCCTCTGCACAGTGCCTGGCACCATCTGCTCCCCACGTGAGAGAAGGACACCTTGAAAGCGCCGGATAGAGTCTCTGACATTGCATCCTAAAAGGGTGGCCAGCAGACCCTGAATTGCCAATCCTTAGGTCATAGTTTAAATTTTAAATTTAATTGTTTTACTATTTTGCCAACAATAACGTTGTTCTATGAATACTTACTACATATTTAAAGGCAACTAGATGTCCCTAGGGGGAGGCCCCGATATATCACCCCATCCTCGCCGGCTCCACCCCGCGGCCCCAGAGAGACTTGTTGACCTCCAGAGTCTTCGCCTCCTGTCCCTTCCAACTCTCATCCCCAAGCATCCGGGTGACAGCCAGGCTGCTCTGCTACCTGAGGGGCTCCGTGCGCCCCCTGCCTGTCCGCCGCAGGGACCGAAGCGCCCGTCAGAGAGTGCGATGCTGACAGTTTTTCCAACCCTTTCCCTGCCGCTCGGTTCCTGGACCTTCTCGTGCTTTAGTCGCAGGTCGCAGAGTCGAGCTCCCTGGAGATAACAACATCCTGGGCAGTCTCCAAATGACCAGAATGTTTCTCGCTCCGCTATCAGTGGAACTGAACCTTCGAGGAGGTTCAGTGCCTCCACGAAGCCTTCTGGGAACTGTAGTTCAATCCACAAAGCCGCTCTGCGCAGGCGTACAACATCACTTTTTGCCTCGCACTCTCCCTCTGGGAAAGAATCCCAAAACCCTAGAGTTGCAGCACAGTGATTTGTGGGAATTTGGGTCCCTGGGTCCCGGAGCAACGCGCAGGCGCGATTCCGCTGCAGGCAGCAGGCTCCTGCTCATTGTGTCCTGATTGTTATGTGGCGGCTATGCTCTGTCGCCGAGATGGAGGCGCCTCGAAAGGCAGCCCCGCGGTGATCATCAGCGTCCAGAGCCAAGAGACAGAGCGGCTGTCAGGTCTGGAGGAAGGGCGGAAGGGACACCGAGCAAGGTTGAGTTGTGGTCCGTTTTAGAGGACATGGATTCCCATGCCCTTAACTTCGCAACACGCGTTCTGAGATTTGACCCCACACAGAGAAAGGACCGGCAGGATGGTCTTGTGGTGGAACTGAGGGATCCGAACATGACTGCATATGGAGAAGGGTGGGTCAGGACCTCTAGCGTGTCTGGGGACAGACTCAGGAAGGCAGCTGCATCCAGCTGATGAGTATATTCCCAGTGGGGCTTTGAGTCCTGTCTGAGGAACTTGAGAACTCGCAACTGCAGTGCAGCCCCCGGACTTGACAAAGCGGTGGAGGGTGACTTGTGTGAATGATTCTCTCTTCTCCCACAGCCCACCCTTACAGACACATACCACACAAATACACTGCCTTTGACTCCAGATCTCTTAACCAAACCCAAAGGAGAATCCCGAGACCACACAAGAGTTTGGCCTGTAAGGCTTCCGATTGAAGAGCTGACTTGCTTAGCTCCCCTCCCGCTTCAGAAGAAAGAAGTCGACTCTTTTCCCTCCTCCTTCCCTCTCATTCGGATCAAACTGTCCCAGGAGGAAAGAGTGTCTTCAGACTTCCAAGCACACCTTTAGGGGGAGGACAGAGGGTAGAAAGCGCTTGAGAACTGCAGCTGAGGCAAGCTTTCTGCGAGGGGAAAGTCAAAGCCTTTAAGACACAGAATGGGCGGCATGGAGGCGCTGACCACAGGGAAGATGCAAAGGGGAAATGGCATGGTGAGCAAGTAAGTCACCTTACAGACAGACGAGGACAGTGTCTCTCAAAAGCAGTAGGGAACTGGAGGAAACTAACCAAAAAACTCATTGCTTGGGGGGTACTGAGGATGCCAGGATAGGAATGTTCGGGTTCATGCCTGTGAATTTTGATCCAACCCTCTCATCACAGGTGTGCGGATGCTTCTAGCTTGAGGACCCCCACAGTTGCGAAGTTCCTCACCCACCTTCTCAGTGCTTGGTGGTCCTCAGAGAGCTCACCAGAGAAGAAGGGATGGCTGTCAGCCACCTCCCAGCCCTGGTCCAGGTGAGTGGGTTATGGGAGGGCGGTGTTGTGAGTCACCTGCCCCTGCAGTTGGGTTCTTGACTCAAAGAGTGTAAGGTTGTTTGCTCTAACCACTCTGGTCTCTCCCAAACACCTGACCCCAGTTGCTTCCTCCCACCCCACATTTCATCCTAGTGGGCTTTGTAAGTGGTATGGGCAGTCAGTGGTCTAGCTTAGTCTGAAGTGAAAACCTGTCACTTTCTGTTAGCCAATAAGATGGGAGTCCAAAATGGTAAAAACAGGGTCTGACATAGGAGCCAAGAGAAGGAATTTGATTTTTTCCTGTGAAGTTGGGGTTTCCTAGGCTTCTTATTCCTTTATTTCTTTTCAAGATACCATGTAACTCTTGTTTCCCAGGACTATTTAATATCAGTAAAAAGTATTCGAATAACTCTACTTCTAGAGGCTTGGGGTATAGCTTTGCGGCAGAGAACTTTGCTGTTATATAAAGGCCCTAAGTTCAGTCGCCAGCACTAAACACACACACACAGCTAGGCATGGTGGTTTATACACACACGCAGACTCTCAAAAAGCTAGGCATGGTGATTTTTACACACACACTCGCAAAGCTGGGCATGATGGTTTACACACACATATACACACACTCGCAAAGCTAAGCATGGTGGTCTACACACACTCACACAGCTAGGCATGGTGGTTTGCACACACACACACACAAAGCTAGGTATGGTGTTTTGCACACACACATACACACAAAGCTACGCATGGTGGTTTACACACTCACACAGCTAGCTAGGCATGGTGGTTTACACACTCACACACACACACTCACACTGCTAGGCATGGTGGTTTGCACACACACACACACACACACAAAGCTCGGCATGGTGGTTTACACACTAACACACACATTCACTGCTAGTCATGGTGGTTTGCATACACACACACACAAAGCTAGGTATGGTGTTTTGCACACACACATACACACAAAGCTACGCATGGTGGTTTACACACTCACACAGCTAGCTAGGCATGGTGGTTTACATACTCACACAGTTAGGCATGATGGTTTACACACTCACACACACACTCACACTGCTAGGCATGGTGGTTTGCACACACACACACACACAAAGCTAGGCATGGTGGTTTACACACTAACACACACATTCACTGCTAGGCATGGTGGTTTGCACACACACATACACATAAAGCTAGGCATGGTGGTTTACACCTGTAATCCTAACACTTGGCAGGCTGTAGAAAGAAGATTGAAAGTTCAGGTCCAGCCTGAACTCTCCAGGGCTTCATGGAGAGCCTTCTACATAGAACTCAGAACTAGAAACTATTCCGAGTGGTGCCACCCTCTTTATAGCCAGGCTCATTTGGTCAAACCTGTTCTAATTCCTTTGCCTGTAGCCTTTAACTTTGTAGGACAGGAACACATGGGATGTGAGAAGTTGGTTGAACAACCAGCCAGTTCCTGCTTTCTGGCTGTTCTCTCTCTCCTCTTGTTTTTCATGAGCAAAGGCACTTTACTTAGAGGCTGAACGTTCAAGGTTGGGCAGCCATGTGTAGCAAGGGCTCTATGCTGCATTATATGTAGTAAATGGCACCACAAGGCCGAAAAGGAAGGGGTATGGGGAGAGGAAACCAGAAAGAGAGCTGGAGGTCTTGTAAGAACCTGCTCATAGCAGCCCCTGCCATCCAGAGAGACATGTCCCATCTCTCACTTCCCTCTTAGACCCCACTTCTCACAGATTTCCCACCTCCCAACACTTTTGCACTGGACACCAGGCACACAGACACTGGAGGAGCGAACCATATCTGAGGCATAGCAGTTAAACACTGTTTATGTTGTTTACCGGCTGCTGTGATTTAGCTGCCACTGGGCAGACATAACTTAGGGATGTAAAATGTGCCAGGTCTAGGAGCCATGTTAGACACCCATGATGATAACACTTCTCGAGGAATCAATGCCCGGGTTCACTTCAGCCAGTGTTTCATGTCTCCTTGCTGTGCACCGAGACCTTGGGCACAGGTAACAAACTTAATTAAGCTATCTTAAGCTAAAGCAGCATTTTTTTTTTATTTCCACTTGCTCCTTCTTCCTCAGTGCACTCTAGCTCCCTGTGAAGACCACACTGTGAGATGTTGTGTCTTCCATGCCGGATTTCAGATTTCTGGGAGAGAATTTCCAAGGAAGAGAGGAGTTATAATCAGAGAAGACACGGTGTCATAGCATAGAACGATCACTTCCGTGGTGTGTGTGTGTGTGTACACACACTCACACAGGTGTCGGGTGGATGATGAGCAGTCAAAGAAAGTAAGACTTACCGAAAACAGTGGTCGTGTGCCACGGAGCAATGCGGGTGCGTCCTGGGCAGTGCATTTGGGAAGCTGTTTCGTCTTGATGTGAACACAGAGAATATTTCTCCTGGCCTAGATGGTGTGGGTCAGTCATTCGGTTTGGCCTCCCAGTGTAATCCGAAGACATGGAAAACATGAAACACGTAGGTGGCTGCTGGGGAGACACGGCATGCCGTTCTACAGTAAAGGTTTCTTGAATGTACAGAAATATGCTCTAAAATAATGATTTAAAAAAGAGCACAGGAGTATGACATTGTTTGCTGTCCTTCTCAGGTGTTAGCCGCTGTACAATACTGTCTGCATTATGCGTCCATATCACTGCTAGTGCAGGATGCTTATCTAAACCGTCATCACCACACACCTGGAAGTGTGTGTTGCGCCGACACTACCCCCGCTACGTTAGGGCTGTGGAGCTAGACGGGAGATGTTGTGGGCAAAGGAAACAAGTCCACAGTCTCACTATTTCTCTACGATTGGTGTCAAAGTGGGGGACAGAGTATGTCTTCCGCACGAAGCTCAACCACTAGGAGATGTTGAGGAGATGCCTTCCGTGTCCCTGAACACCAGCTTCCCGCAGACGAAAGGTTAAAGGTCCCCCTTGCGCTGCTGGGACAGCCAGGATCAGCTTCCCTGCCCGATCTCCTGGTCGGTAAGAAAGGGTTCTCTGTTTCAGGACTTGGTTACCTTCAAGGATGTGGCTGTGCTCTTCACCCAGGAGGAGTGGGGCTGGCTGAGCTCTGCCCAGAGGGCCCTGTACCGGGACGTGATGCTGGAGAACTACAGCAACCTGGTCTCGCTGGGTAAGCTGGACCCCCTGGACTGCCAGAGAGCAGAGTGGGTTGGATCTGGGCCTGCTGATGATACTGCCTTCATGCCTACCATGTGTCTGCCCCCCTGTGGCCCCCAGAGCTCTGCTGAAGTCTCACCTGTGATGTGTCTCAAGTAAGAGGGTGTGGGAACAGACTGTGTCAGGCCCAAGCCACTCCTCCCCCCACACACAAACATGCTCCCCTTCCTGTCGGACCACCATTTCCAGAAAGTTCTGAGGACCAGGTCTCATCCTTACAATGACTTCTGTCTCCATTATGAACAGATAAGATCACTTTTTCTTCCTCCTTCAAAAACAGGACTCTCGAGATTCAAACCAGATGTGTTTTGTCACCTGGAGAAAGCAGACAAATGCGTGACAGAGGATGCTCAAGAAGGCTTTGTTCCTGGTAAGAATCATGCCTGTGGGACACTGGGAGGAATGAGGTCTCCGCAAATATGGCAGGCCCGGGCCACATTGTCCCAGCATGCGTATCCAGACTGGCATTCGTCATGGAGGTCTGTGCTTCTCTGAGCCCTTCCTTCCATCGCTTGTTTCACATGAATTAGATGTCTGGGGCTGGAGAGGTGGCTCCGCAGGTAAGAGTGCCTGCCCCCTCCAGAGGACCCGACTTCAGTCTCCAGTACCCACATTGGGCAGCTCATAGTTGCCGGTAACTCCAGGTCCAGGAGGGTCCAACATCCTCGTCTGGCCTCAATAGGCACACTGCACACACATTCATATACATAAATGAAAACAAAATTTAAAAAAATTAGCAGTCCTCTTCCCCCACTCCTGTGGTGGCATGTCCTCTCTTAAATTCGACATGCAGAAGCCGCCTGCGCGTCTCTAGTGAGGAGTCTCTTGGGGCTCAGGAGACAGGTCTGTGCTTGCTGAAGCTCCCTTCTTTCCAGCGAAGCCCTGCGCATGTCCTCATCTCCCTCTTGTTTCTCTAAGCACATGGGAGTATATTCAAACTGCGTTTACCCGGCCCCCGTGCCAGGCTGTGTGCTTGGCTGCAGGTGCCAAAGGCCAGGGCTGTCATGTATTTTGCTATATATTACTCACACTTAGTGCAGCATGTGGCTGCTGGTGAGACTGGCTGCCTGGGGTGGAGAGAATGTCCTGAGGAGTCCCCTGGGGCTTGTGGCTCACCGATGGGGATATGTCTTTCTGCTACTTTGAAGTGTTTGACAAAGCTCCTTGCCTTGCCTATGATGCTGCAATGTTACACTTTCCTGGAGTGTGTAACAGGCTGTAAAATATCTTTGGTGAGGGTAAGGTGGGCAGAATCTCTCTCTACATAGTCCTGGCTATCCTGAAACTTGCTATGAAACAGGCTAACCTTGAACTCACAGAAATCCACCTGCCTCTGCCTCCCAAGTACTGGGATTAAAGACTTGTGCCACCACACTTGACCTATGAAGTGTCTTGTAAGACCTATTATTATTTTTCACTGCAATCCAGTGAAATAGGTAGAGGTTTATATTTTATAGTTGATAATTACCCACCTCAAATGTCTAGGACTCAATGTTTGATGGAATTTAACTAGCATAACTCAAAATTGCAATTATTAAGAGATATTTAATTTACCGCTGATACAGCGCAGTGGTAGAGCATACATGAAGTTCTAAGTCAATGTTTCTCAACCTAAGGGTCAAGACCCCTTTGGGGGTTGAATGACCTTTCTACAGAGGTCACTTAAGACAGTGGTGGAAAACACAGTGGAAAACACAGATGTTTACATTACAATTCATAACGGTAGCAAAATTACAGTTATGAAGTAGTAACAAGAATAATCATGTGGTTAGGGGTCACTTCAACATGAAGAACTGTATTAAAGGGTCACAGCATTAGGAAGATTCTCATCCTCTTTTCCGCATCCCTCTGCCCCCTCCCCATACCCACCTACCCTCCCCAACCTCCTCTGACCCCTCCCCACACCCACCTACCCTCCCCAACCTCCTCTGACCCCTCCCCACGCCCACCTACCCTCCCCAACCTCCTCTGACCCCTCCCCACGCCACCTACCCTCCCCAACCTCCTCTGACCCCTCCCCACGCCCACCTACCCTCCCCAACCTCCTCTGACCCCTCCCCACGCCCACCTACCCTCCCCAACCTCCTCTGACCCCTCCCCACACCCACCTACCCTCCCCAACCTCCTCTGACCCCTCCCCACGCCCACCTACCCTCCCCAACCTCCTCTGACCCCTCCCCACGCCCACCTACCCTCCCCAACCTCCTCTGACCCCTCCCCATACCCACCTACCCTCCCCAACCTCCTCTGACCCCTTCCCACGCCCACCTACCCTCCCCAACCTCCTCTGACCCCTCCCCACACCCACCTACCCTCCCCAACCTCCTCTGACCCCTTCCCACGCCCACCTACCCTCCCCAACCTCCTCTGACCCCTCCCCACACCCACCTACCCTCCCCAACCTCCTCTGACCCCTCCCCATACCCACCTACCCTCCCCAACCTCCTCTGACCCCTCCCCACACCCACCTACCCTCCCCACCTCCTCTGACCCCTCCCCACGCCCACCTACCCTCCCCAACCTCCTCTGACCCCTCCCCACGCCCACCTACCCTCCCCAACCTCCTCTGACCCCTCCCCACACCCACCTACTCTCCCCAACCTCCTCTGACCCCTCCCCACACCCATCTACCCTCCCCACCTCCTTTGACCTCTCCCCACACCCACTTACCCTCCCCAACCTCCTCTGACCCCTCCCCACACCCACCCACCCTCCCCAACCTCCTCTGACCCCTCCCCACACCCACCTACCCTCCCCACCTCCTTTCCACTTTTATGTCGCATATGTCCTATTGCCCACCCCTTCTCAGCATCTCTTCCCCTCTCACGGTCTCTTTTCTTGTTTCATAGCCTATGAAACTCACATACAACACATAGAACATTACAAGCTGGGTTATAATGAACATGTAATATTTCCTTCTGAGTCTGAGTTACTTCGCTTAATATTAATACTTTCTCTCTCTTTCCAGTTCCTGAAACTTGCCTTTTTCTTTATGGTTTCATAAAATTCACTGTGTATAGGTGCCACATTTTCTTTACTGTTACCTGTTGATGGACGTCTAGGCTGGTTCTGTTCTCTGGCTACTGTGGATTAAGCACCAAAGACATGGATGAGATGTGGTGGGATGCAGGGTGCTTCAGGTATCTGTTCAAGCATGAGATAGCTGGGTCATATGGTAATTCTATTTTTAATTTTTTTTGAGAAATCTCCATACTGATTTCCATATGGCTGTACTTTACACTCCCACCAGCAGGAAATAAGGCTTTTTCTCTCTGCCTGCATCTTTGCCAATTCTCATTCTTAGACAGTTATTTTTAATCAAGAAAGAAAAACATCATGATAGATGGTTTTGCCTTTAATGTTTTCTCTCCTCTGGGCCACGAGCTGTCCGAGAGCTGGAACTAAGTGCTGCACGGGGTGGTCTGGGTGGGCCTTTGTGCTTGTTGACACATTTATTCCTTGAGTGATGGATACCCTCTGCAGCTGACCCCATCCAGTGGAGATAATGGATTTGGGCTGATTTCATGCTGCTCTTGGGTGAAGGTTGGGATTAGCACAAACCCACCTGACTCCGAAGCTGTTGCGTTTTCTTCCCTTCTCCACATTCCTTTTAACCATGCAGCATCCCAAGGAAAACCACTAGACCTCTTATCTCAAGTACCTGCTGGCCATTTTTATACATTCTTCCTCGTTTATGCCTCAGTGTCTGGTACCCTTTAGCTCTCAATTCTTGTTTGATCTATGAATGTATGAATGCAGAGTTTCACTTAAAATTTTGTTTTTTATTTTATTTGTGTGTGTGCACGCGTGTGTGTGTGTGCAAGTGTGTGTGTGCATGTATGCAAGTGTGCATGTGTGTACAGATACCTACATATACAGAAGCAGGAGGATGTTGAGCATCGCTCTCTGCCTTCTTCCCTTGAGGCAGGCTCTCGCACTGAACCTGGAGCTGGCTGTTTTTCAGCTAGTCTGGTGGCTAACAAGCCCCAGTGATTTTCCTGTCTCTGCCACTGTCCTCTCCAGGGCTGGGGTTACAGCTGCTTGTGACCATACTCAGTCTCTGCACAGTGCTAGGAATCCAAACTCAAGCACCCTTACCCACTGAACCACCATTCCCACCCCCATTTATCATTTTAAGTTTGTATTTTGTCTTCTTATTCTCTGTCTTCATTCTTTTTTTTTTCGCTTAAATTTATTGGGATTTTTTTTTAGAGCTGATATATTGCCCTTCCATGCTGCAATTTTATTTCTGCACTTAGCATTATCATTTCTTTCTTTTTTGGCCTTAACATACATTTATTTTTAATATTGTGCTCTATATTGCCCTTCCGTGCTGCAATTTTATTTCTGCACTTAGCATTATCATTTCTTTCTTTTTTGGCCTTAACATACATTTATTTTTAATATTGTGCTCTGACTATAATAAAAATAGCATAATTTTTCAACAGTTTTACGTGCTGAAATTATGTGCTACTTTGCCCAGCAAAAGTTCTACTTCTTTTTTTCAGTGTTGGGGGTTGAACCGAGAGCCTCATGATGCTCTGCCACTAAGCTGTGTACCCAGCCCTAAGGAGTTTAAACAGTGATAAAGATGCAGTACTCATATGCTGCTGCCCAGTTTAAGAAAGAGATCTAACCCCCATTGAAGTCCAGTGTGGTTCCTCACATCGTCCTCCTAGCACAGCAGAAAGCCACTAACTTGGTTTAAGAAAGAGATCTAACCCCCATTGAAGTCCAGTGTAGTTCCTCACATTGTCCTCCTAGTACAGCAGAAAACCACTAACTTGGTTTCAAATGTTGTAGTAGTAGTAGGTGGTGGTGGTGGTTTTTTCTTCAAGACAGGGTTTCTCTGTGTAGATCTGGCTGTCCCGGAACTTGCTCTGTTGAACAGACTGGCCTCAAACTCAGAGTGATGTGTACCACCACATCTGGCTTTTTTATTTTTATTTTAATGGGCAGGGTCGGGTAGCGTGGCAGTGCACGTGGGTGCAGTGCTCTCGGACACCAGAAGAGGGCATCCTGTAGCTGGAGTTACAGGCAGTTGTGAGTCCCACTCCTCCGCAGTACCACTGGTACTAGAAAGGGAAGTCAGGTCCCCAAGATGCTGACAGAGCCTTCTCTCTTCAGCCCCACTAGCTTTGTTTTGTGTCAGTATTTCCTGGACTTCTTTTCTGGGTCTTATTTTGTGGCTGTAGCAAAATAACTGGGAGAAATGAAGGAAGAACTTTAGAAGGAAGGTCCATTCCAACTCAGTTTCAGAGTTTGTAGTCCATGGTGAGCTGGCTCCATTGCTTTTGGCCCCATATCAAGACAGAAACACCATAGAGGAAGGGGGAGGAAACTTCCACTTCATGGTGGCCTGGAAGGGACAAAACAGGAAGGGGTCAGGAATAAGACATACTCATAGCAACATGCTTACTCCAGCCAAATCTTGCCTCCTCATAGCTCATTCTACTGAGAACTAAAAATTAATGAGGTTAAGACTTGGGGGTGGCTTAGTGTGTTAATGCTCACTGCACAAACACAAGGACCTGACTTCACATGCCCGCCTCTTGGGTAAAGCTGAACATGACACCATACATCTGTAACCCTAGCATTGAAGGGCAGAGGGAGCCACCCAAAGTTAACCTCTGACCTCTACAAGTGTTCTCGTCTGCCACCCTGGCTCTGGATCCCTAAATTCTGCATGTGAGATGACATTGAACTTTTCATTCCCAGTGGTCTTTGAACTGCTATCAGTCTCTGCCTCTCTCTCTCTCTCTCTCTCTCTCTCTCTCTCTCTCTCTCTCTGATAAAGGTAAATCTAAACTTTCTTTGAATAGAGCATGGCATTGAGACATAACCTCTCAAATGTTGGGATTATAAGCATGAGTCAAACTTGGCCTATTAGATAGTTTTGAGCTTTAAAAGATGAAATCTGTTTAATGACAAAGAAATGAATACTGTTTTCAGAATTCCAACCTTTGAAATCAAGCTTCCAAACCCTCCTGTCTCAGGTATAGCATTAGATAAGCTTCCACCATACTCCTGTGTTCACGCCTCGGGCTCTTTCCCTTCATATTCCCATGTTAAGTCTTCAACTGCAGTTTCTTTGTTAGCATTATTAACATGATGTTCATTTCATTCCATCAAGCTGTTTCACTTGGGTAAAAGTGACGTTTCTGTTTTCAATATCTTTCAGGGGGGATCACAATGACCACGAGTAAGAAATTTCTCAGGGCAGATACCCCTAAAGAAGAATCGGATCCATGGATAATGGAGGAGAGAGTCAGCAGAGGGACTCACTGGGAATGTGCTAACCTGCTAGACTGGAAATTCCAGGATGGTCAAGAGGTCAGGTTGCAGCAAGTGGTCCTCACCCAGCAAGACACTCCATCAAAGCTTTGTGGGCAGAAAGTCCCGGCATCTGAGAAGGGCTGCACAGGGAACTCGCTACCCGTCCGAAGTCAGACATCTCAAGCAAACAAAAAAGTGTTTGAATGCAGTGAGTGTGGAAAGGCCTTCTCTCAGAGTTCCACCTTTAAGACACACCAGAAAATTCACACTGAAAAACTCAGCACCAGTCAGGAAACGCCTATTAAAGAAAAACGCTACGAATGTAGAGAATGTGGGAAAGCCTTTCACCAGAGTACACACCTCATCCATCACCAGAGAATTCACACTGGTGAGAAACCATATGAGTGTAAGGACTGTGGGAAGGCCTTCTCAGTGAGCTCTTCGCTTACCTACCACCAGAAAATCCACACTGGAGAGAAGCCTTTTGAATGCGATGTTTGCGGGAAAGCCTTTATCCGGAACATACACCTTTCCCACCACCAGAGAATACATACGGGAGAGAAACCTTTCCAGTGTGACATTTGTGACAAAGCCTTTGTTTGCAGAGCGCATCTCACCAAACACCAGAACATCCACAGTGGGGACAAACCCTATAAATGTAATGAGTGCGGGAAAGCCTTCAATCAGAGCACAAGTTTTCTTCAGCACCAGAGAATACACACCGGAGAGAAACCCTTTGAATGCAACGAATGTGGAAAGGCCTTCAGGGTGAACTCTTCCCTCACGGAACACCAGAGAATTCACACGGGGGAGAAACCATATAGGTGTAGTGAGTGTGGCAAAGCGTTCAGGGATAACTCGTCCTTTGCGCGACATCGGAAAATTCACACCGGAGAGAAACCTCACCGGTGTGGCGTGTGCGAGAAAGCCTTCAGGGACCAATCGGCCCTCGTGCAGCATCAGCGGATTCACACAGGGGAAAAGCCTTACGCGTGTCACATCTGCGAGAAAACCTTCAGTGACCACTCGGCCCTTACCCAGCATAAGAGGATCCATACACGAGAAAAGCCATACACGTGTAAAACCTGCGGGAAAGCATTTATTCGAAGCACACACCTCACCCAGCATCAGAGAATTCACACGGGAGAGAAACCCTATAAATGTAGCAAGTGTGGGAAAGCCTTCAACCAGACTGCGAACCTCATCCAGCATCAGAGGCATCATCTTGGAGAAAAATGATATGAATGCAGCTCGTGTGGGAATGACGACATTCACTACTGAATATAAGAGAATACGTAAAGAATCGCAATGGAGTCTTTTAATAGGATCGTTGTATTTACTGGGAGCCAAGTTCCATGGTGCCATGGGTTTTTGGGAATGTTAAGGATGGCAAACATACCTCTCTTTTTAGTACTGCCTCAGTTGGAAAGTGGTATTTTTTTATTGGCCTGAATTACCAAGTACTAGAACCAAAATGAAACTTCATTAAAAGCATAAATGTCAGTTTATCAAGTTCACGGTTTGTTAAGATAATTATAAAGTTATAAAAATTAAGGTTGAGAAGCAAATGAACAAAAATGTAAGAAAGTGGTCCATACGCATTTTGTTCTAGATGTTCTTCTATAAGAAAGTTGCCATCTTTAGTCTCCCCTCACCCACATCCGTGATGCCTAGTTTAGAGACGTTGCCATCAGTCACCCATGCATGAGTGGAGTCATTTAAATCATGCTTCTTACGAGTCTGCTTCTGTTTCAGCCACCTTTGGGCAAGTCTCCTGGGCCTACCTGCTAACTTGCTCCTTATCCGTGTTCTTCCGGGAAGGTTCATTTGAACCACATGACCCTCTTCTAACTTAGTTCCAACTATTACCACGCTCCTTGTTATCACCACCATGGACCTCATTCATAACGTAGATCTGAGCTGCAGAATTGGCAGTGTCCATTATACTAGATTTCACACCCAAATCCAGCTTCCAGAACTCAAGGTCTCTTTCTCGAGGCAGAGAGTCATCAAAGGTATGGTACAAGACCTCAGCTAACTATGATACTGGTAATACCTAAATAAGGACTTTTACCCTCTGGCCGTTCCAAGCCATTGTGAAGTTATACTGTCCACAGGAGTCAGGGGCTTCATCAGTTTCAATGGGACAGGCCCTACCATCTAGTTGTGGTTGATATTCCTGGCCACTCCCACTTTGACTCTCCATAACCGCCAACATGAGTGAGACAGGGCTTCTAAGGCCAGTTTTCAGATGCTCTGGCCCATTACTTGTTCCCCGTCAGTTCTTTGTACCTGACTGCATTAGAGTGTATCTGCCTCTCTCATATTATTGGTCTTTGTCGAGCTTTTATCTGGGTTTCCGAAGGTATCAATTCTATCTATGTTCTATAAAAGCCTCTAATTTCTGCTTATATGTTTGGAAGGTCATTTCTTCTCCACTGTTGGGGCATCTTACCACTTAAAGACTCCATTGTTCTGACAGTGTTGGACAATATATCGAGCAGTTCCATGGGTCCTGAGATGAACAATAGCACCATTGAGATTCTCTCTGGTCAAGGCCAGACCCAGGCCTAAAGGCTGTGACTGGCTAATCCTACAGGCAGGTCTTTCGCCGCCATTAATCCCTCGATATTGTTTTTAGACATCACAATCACAATCACAACCACGCATCTTTCTGTCTGCAGGCCCTGGGGACACACTTCCACACCACAAAGAACAAGGCATCTGTACCACCAGTGGTATGTACTCCACAATGAAGAGGGAGGAGCCAATAAACTCATTCCAGGAGGGACGTTCTGGGTTCCTGGTTTGTGGAAGTGTTGTCTATGAAGCTGGGTACTCTTGTCCCCTAAACTCCGCCCTCAGTTAAAGAAGAGGAAATTCTATATTGTGTCAGACTCTAGGTTATTACATAGATCTGGAAGCTTCAGGCACCTCAAAACCTGAGTTCAGTTCTCAGCAGTGTGGGCAAGCTTCTCATGTTAAGTGGCTGAAATCACATGTCCTCCATTGTGCATCTTGGGATCATTGGCATTTTGGGAGGTTATGTGGCACTCCCAAGGGTGTGTACCCACACAGCCATCTGCAATATCACATGACTGGAACTGCAGACTGTGTATCAACCTGCGGCACCGTGTTCCCTGTTAGTAACACCTGCTTACAGCACTCCATATGACCTGGGTCCTGACTCACACAAACCCTCCCTCGCCTTTACCATGAGTCTCTAAGAGTTTGCAAGTTCCTTTTTGTTTTGTATTGGTTTGTTTTGAGACAAAGGCTTCTGTAAGTCAGGCCTGTCCAAAACTCACTAAGTCCAAGGCGACCTCAAATTTATGGCAATCCTCCTGCCTCAGGCTCCCAAGTGTCCTGCTAGAGAGTCACATTTCTCATTTTGCCGTTCATCTTTTTGCTGATAACAAAGTTGCCACCTCCAAATGGCAAGTACTGTACATGTGTCAGGGTGACTATCCCCTTTATCTTAGTGACAGCCTAAGAGAGTGGCTGCAGTCTCCTTTTCTCTGAGCTCATCTTCCTCAGGTGTCACTTGCATGTTTATGTGTATCTTGCACTTGCCTGGTACCTGTGGAAGCCAGGAGAGGGAGTTGGATCCCCCGATGAAGTTACTTCATTGCCCAAGTACTAATGAAAACAATCAGCATTTCATTTCTGTCCATCTGACACTCAGAGCAGCCCCCACCGCTAAGCCCCAAGAGATGAAAACTATTTAGGAAATTTTTTACATTTAGAAATAAAAGCATTCAGAGTAATAGAGAGTATTTCATTTTTGCTGTTGATTTTCTTTGTTTCTTGGCATAGGGGTCTCGTGTAGTCCAGGTTGGCCTTAAACCAACTATGTAGCTGAAGCTGACTTTGAACTCCGATTCGCCTGCCTACAGCTTGTGCCACCATGCCAAGCAGTTACAGGTGTTTCTGAGGATCATTCATTCTAATAGATGATGGAAGAAATTTATATACCACTGAACATTTTATTACATTTTAGAAGAAATCTTGCAAACTGATAACCAAAGAAGCAACAGAAAACTGAAGTCAAACTTCTGGGGAGTGTTGTATTTTATAACTAGGATTCGCTCAATAAAGTGAAAAGGCAATATGTGTAATGGATTATTGGGGACAAAATCGCATAATCTCCCTTAAGATTCACAAATGTGAAGGGAAAAAAATCACAAAACTTTATTGGGGAGTTCAGTTTGATGGACCTGATATCTGGTCATTCAAAACTATGAAGGAAACTCTTGGGGAGTTTCCAGTCCCCCAGTGAGCTCAAAAAGGAAGAAAAAAAGAACCAAGGGGAGGAATTTCAGACGAGAAGCCTCTTGTTTAAGTCACAACTTGGGCACAATGAAGGATTCAGAAAGGACAGAAACCTCACGGATGGATTAAATGTGACAAGTTCTGCCACTCTACACAAAGTCAGTCACGAGAAGGAGAAAACCAGTGACCGAATGCACATGAGAGCCCTGGGAGGAAGGTGGAACTCACTGCGTATTAAGGACTTCCCACCAGAGGGCAAGGACCGGAAGTGGGATCTCTGGTGGGAGGCCAGGATTCTAGTCAGTAACCTCAGCTGGTAAGGAACCCGTGAAGTGCAGTCAGTGGAAAACACTAGAACTCATTCTAACTCAAAGCCTGGGGGAAACCACATGAATGCCAAAAGAAAAAAATGGTGGAGAAGCTTTCAACTAGAAGTCAGAACTCACCACAAATCAGTCGGTACAGGACAGTATTCAGACCGTGGCTTGCTGAGTCCAGAAGAGATCAGTCACATGGGCAAGGTGTTCTCAAGAGGACACATTTCACAGGGACAAGGCTCTCTCAAGAGGACACATGTCACACTCTAGGGACTCAAGCAAGACAGGAGCTTTGGTAGGAGCCTCAGAAAGAGTTCAGCAGGAAATGCAATATCACACTTTGAATTGTGGGAAAACTGGGAACACATGAGGCCAGGAAGGGGAATCTATAAAGCAGAAATATTCTAAAGCAAAGCCTTGATGGTGTCTTCAGAAAGCTAAAGTATTGCACCTCCAGGTCATCTGTCCATTGAAGTGCAGCTCACTTTCAAGACTTAAATACCTTAAATACTGGAGAATTCACAATGAGTTAAAACAGCTAACTCAACACATTTAAAAAACAGGGGGAACAAAATTCCCTAACTAAACACCAGCTCTGTAAAAGAAAGATTAGTAATACATGAACGTCCATGCATGGTGTTTGAATAGCTTCCTCTATATACTTCGGTCCACCTCTCAGAGGGGCAATCCAAGAACATGTGCAGGAGAGCCTTGATAGCCATCCTTATCATTTAATTAAGCCGGACATGGTTACACATACTTTCAACCCCAATACTTGGGAGGCAGAGGCAGATGGACCTCTGTGAGTTCGAGGCCAGCCTGTTCTACAGCGTGAGCTTCAGGACAGCCAGGGCTACATAATAGTAATAATCCTCGCCACAGAAACAAGACTGTTCCTGGACCCCCACCCAACAAAGCCCAGCTGTTCTTCATTCTCTCACACACTAACGTGTTGGCATGTCTTCAGGTTGAAGCAATTTACTGGAACATACACTGCGAAGAAACGCTGTCAAACTTCGTAGATGACCCTGTGGAAAGAGCGAAAAGGAAACAACCTCACAGAAGCCTTCCCTGTTCCCTGTTCACGCCTCTCTATGCTGTAGGCCCACCCCGGCAGCCGGGACTCTCACAGGCTCTGATCTTCTGTGTCAGGAAAATGAATGCAGACCCCCAAGTTTCCTTTTGTGGTCGTTGCACCCTGGCCAGCCTCAAGGTGATGCTGTTGGATCAAGATAAATCTCACCCCAACCTGACAAGCCCTGGCTTCACCATGGTCTTTGAATGCCTGACCAGAAGGCATTGGTTTAGTTTTTGTGTTAAGGTAGAAACCTGGAAGCGAGTATTGTGGGCAAGAAGGACCGAATGATGAGGTTGGTATGCCGAGGAAAGCGGAAGTCCAACATGGCTCGGGGTCTAGCTCTTTCTGAAGGCATGCCCAGCCATGCTGGGCGTGGTCTTCACACATTTCCAGCCTCTGGTGGTCACTGTGGAGCCTTTGCAGCTTCCACTGTGAAGCCAGGAGAAGCAAAGAAAGGGCAGAGAACAACCTGTGGTACCCACACTTCATCCTGCTACTTGGCATCCTCTGCGTTCTCGCTCTTGGGCGGGGCCGCTATCGTGGACATTGTCTTGAGGCTGCGCTTCCGCTTCTGCACATTCTGCTCTGGATGGAACAGGATGACGTAGGTTTTGGGCACGTAGAGCATGCCGAGGGACACCGACGCACTCAGGCTCAGGGACACGGTCAGTGTGGTCGTTTGGATATAGATCTAAGCACAGAGGAGGGAACAAGACGGAGCTTAGCCCTGTTTTCTCTCGATCCCACACCTGTAGACCGGAGGTGAGTTACTTTTGTCAGGTGAGCGGGAACGGAAACAATGGAAAGGTTAGCAGGAGAAAATCAGGCACAGTGTGGATCTGGAGTAGGCAGGAAGACAGGTGGAGTGACACAGACTGAGTGGGCTATTAAGGAAGAGAGTGTCGACTTGAGAGGTGGCTCAGTGGTACAAGCACTGTAAATCCAAGTTGGATAGAAGAGAACTGATTCTCCAAAAGTTGTCCTACAGTCTATGCAATTTGTACTGTGGTACAGTGCATGTGCTCATACAACACACACACACACACACACACACACACACACACACACAGAAAGAGAGAGAGAGAATAAACATTTTTAAATTCCCTTTAAAAAAGGAAGAGGGCCTGAGAGATAGCTTAGTGGTTTAGGAAGACATGCTGCTCTTGTGGATTATATGGGTTCAGTTCAACACTAGGCAGCCTACAACCGCCTATAACCCATAACCCCAGTTCTAGGGGACCCTATATCCTTTTCTGGCCTCCAAGGGTGCCTGCATGTATAATGCTATACATATAAACAAGCAGGCATACACAAGAAAAATAAATAATTTTCAGATTACAAAGGAATGAAGAGGGTGGCACTTGGGCGAAGGCTCCCTCTCCTAAAGAGGCAGAATTTATTAATGAGCAAATGAATGATCATGTTTCCAAATATAGAAATGAGGGAATAAACAAGGGAGAGAGGAATGAATGGACAGGCTGAGGCTCATGAGTGCAGGGAGAGAAGAAGAACGAATGAATAGACAGGCTCAGGGCTATAAGAAAGACGAATGAGTGCATCCCACCCACAATCGTTCTAATGAGGCATCAGGATGGGTGGTCCAGCTCCTGGACAGTAGAGCTCTTCAGTAGTGGGTGAGGGGTGAGCAGGAAAAGCCTGCTGGGGGACTCAGTTACCTTCTCAGCTGACTGGGCGGTGCCAAAGAAGATGGGAACAAAAGCCAGCCAGATAATACAGGTGGTGTACATGGTAAAGCCGATGGGTTTGGCCTCATTGAAGGTCTCAGGCACACCTCGGGCCTTGATGGCATACACTGTACATGTGACCATGAGCAGGAGACTGTAGCCCAGACATCCAATGAGGGACAGATCAGACATGTCACACTTGAGCACACCTCTGGCCTGTTCCGGGTCCACTGTCCTCTGCTCCTCATAGTCAATCACGCTGTGTGGAGGTTGGGCCCCCAACCACGCTATTACTCCTACTACCTGTGGGAACCAACACAGTGTCAGGAACATACTGTCTTCTAGTAAGGAGTCCATTGCAGCCCCTCACCTGGGTCTCTGGCAGGTCAGATTTCTTATGATGTCCATGGCCTACTGAGTTGGATGCTCTGTCTTGAAAGACTAACCGTGAAAAAGGATCGCCCAGGGGTGTGTTCCTACCTGTGATGGTGTGTGTGGAAAGGACAGTTGTGCTCGAGGCACATGTGGACCACATCGGGGCGGGGTAGGGAAGCAGCAACCTCACCACCCCACACTGGGCTTTTAACCGCATGCCATACCCCTGAGCACCTTCAACGCTCTCCAACCTCCTCCTCAGTGTCTCCCTATACAGACTGGAAACCCACAAAATCTGTCATGAGGACATGATGCCTTCTCAGAGGAACCGGTGCCACCAATGAGAACCAGCCCCCAAAGGGATGTCTGTCCTCACACCCACGCTGCTCCGTAGGTGTGAAGGTACCAGCTTGCACACAACGAGCAACATGGCAAAGCTGGTTTCCAGCTTTCCTTTCCTCTCCAAAGCGAGAGAACTATGGACAGAATGCCATGAGCTTATGGGTGAATGTGCACAACATGGTCCCATCATAGGCCAGAGGCTAATGCCCGAGCCTTAACAGGGAGAAAGTGGAGTTTCAGCTGCTTCCCAGTGTCCACAGACAGATCCTGAGCCGAAGAAAACTGAGGGATGAGCATCAATATGTCTGCATAAAGTGAGATCCTGAAAGGGGATGACCCATGTGTCAGTTCAGGTTTTTCACTATATAAGAGTGTCAGATGAAAGGGTACGTGGGATTGAAATCTAGCAAGCTATCAGTGCCATGCCCTCTGAGGAAGAGGTCTTCAACTGAAGAGTTGCCTCCATCAGACTGGCCTGTCTGCATGTCTGTGGGGGACATTTTCTTGATTGCTGAATGATGTAGGAGGGCCCAGCCCACTGTGAGCGGTACCATCCCTAGGCAGGTGCACTTGGTCTCTATAAGAAAGGTAGCTTAACGTGAGCCCAGGAGCCAGCCAGTAAGGAGCA